TCAAGGAACTTTATGAAGTTCGTGACACGTTGGCGTCTTTTATCACCTTCAACATGTAACTTACATTTTAATTGTAAATTTATGTTAACTTTTGAACTATATTATTATTCATTATTTTTTACTATCATTTGTATATATATATATATAACACTTTTTTTTATTATTGTATTGCATTTGGGAATATTTATTTATATATATATATATGAATTCTTGTTTTTAATATTATTTGTATCTTATTCAAATATTTAATAATAATATTATTATTAGTAATTATAATAAAAATATTATTAATTATTTTATATAATATTATTGCTGGAATTACAGGTTATTATTATTGCTAGAAATAGGGTGTTTTTTTTTTAATATTATGGCACGAACAATGGAAAAAAAATATATATAGTGAAAAGGCACAGGTAACCGGTGCCAAAACAAGTTGCCACGCGGGAGTTTATTTTAGGCACCAGTTAACCGGTGGCCAAAATAGTTAAAGGCACCGGTTAACCGGTGCCAAAACCAGTTTAGGGCACCAGTTTTGAATCGGTACCAAAAAGGGGGGTAATTGGCACCTCCCACATAGAAACCAGTTCAAACCCGTTTCTTAGACCGGGTTTGAACCGCTGCCTATTTCTATTTTTCTACTAGTGTTTGGAGTTTTTCAATATAAAGAACAAGGAAATGCATATACAAATGTGCATAGAATATATGAATCAACATCCCACCAAACATGATAGAATACCCTCCCCTAAGCTTGAATGAGATCATACACTCAAATCATAAATCAAATAATCCATGGGAAGGGAAAAGAAAGAAATCAAACCAACAATACCAACAAATGACCAACAAGTTATCATCCATTAGAGAAAGAGTAAAGAAATATATTCCCGGATGTTGGTGGGTGTTGTATAGGATAGCTCCCACTGAACTATCGCCCAGCCCTTAGGGTGTCCACTCACTGCCGAGAAAGTAGCTAAGAAGGGCTCTCTAGTCTGATGGAGTCAACTCGGAGGGCTGACCAGGCTGGACCCTCCATAAAGGAGATAGTACGCCTATAAATAGAGGGTAAGGTACAGCGGAAAAGTGGTTAGAAACTCAAGTTATTATACTTTCTATATCTCTCTAAGTACACTTTCTCTCTCTAAACACTTTCTAACTTAAGCTTCGGAGGGGGGTTCCTCAAGCCACCCCCGAGGGCAGTTTACGTGCGTTGTCGTGTGTAGGTTGTTGACGGGACCCATCTCACCCAGCAGAACCCTTGGATCCATACCTGGAACAATTGACGCTAGAAGGAGGGGAAGGATCATCTAATTTGAGGTTTGCCAGCTAAGTTAGGGACTAGTTGACAAACCACCATGGCCGGGGAGGAAGCTGTGCAAACACCCATATCCAAAGCCAATAAGACCAACCAAACACCACAAAAAACACCCTCAGTAACCCTTGATCCAAAAGGATCCACTGAAAATCCCAAATCGACCATCTCACAGAAATCCCACCCCATCGGATCGACATCAGCTGCAGCTAAAGCGGTGTCGAAACCAGTCAATCCGACAGGATCTAGTTCCATTTTCAAATATGGAATTCCATTATCAGGTACGAACAATGAGCTCGTTGTTTCAGCAATTGTAACCCAGAAACCGCAACCCGTAAACATGCAAGCCATCCTGCAGAACCTCTCTAAGTGTAGGAAAGAACAGTTGGTAGCAATGACGACAGTCCTTACCAATATGGGTAAGGGAGCGAGCCCATCACCGACAGTGGCTGCTGCGGAGCCCGCAGTAAAGACGTCAGCGCCCACAACCCTCACCCCCGAGCAGAAGGAGCTCGTTCACTTGAGGAAAAAGGTATTTGAGTAGGAAGCTCGCAATCAGAACCAATAATGGAGTGTGGAAGAAGTAACCCAGGCTCAGATCAGCCTGGAGAAGCGAGCTCCCCGCAGCATGTCGCCAGCCTCAGAGCGGGGACCCAGCCCGGAGAAAGACAAGCGAGCGCGAATCTAGGTTGTTCTAGATGAGTCCCCATTTTGCCGGAAGATTTTGGAGGAACCAGTGGAGAAAGTAAAAATGTCGAGCTGCAGATACAATGGGACCACAACACCCAAGAGTCACATATCATGTTTTGAGAACCACATGGTACTCTATACCATAACCTACCCTGGAGAGGCTAGCAGTAGAGTGGTATGGTACCATTCCCAAATGTTCCGTATACTCGTATAATCAGTTGAAGAGAATGTTCATGGAGCATTTCATAACCTTGGTAGATCGAACTAAGATGACAATTGAGCTGTTGTCGTTAGTTTAGGGGAAGGACGAGCCCCTGAGGGAGTTCATCACCAGATTTATCAAGGAAGCAACAACCATCCCTAATATGAGTCAGGAGGTAGCACTACAGGAAATGCAGAGAGGTTTACTACCAAGCTCACCATTCACATCGTATATGGGGCGTAAGAGCCTCAAAACATTAGCTGAAGCGCTAGGTAAAGTGCATGAGCTCATCAAAGCATACGAAACTGACAGAGAAATGCTGAGTAGGAAGGCACCAGGTGACTCAGTTAAGTGAGCAGAGGTTTTTCCCGGGCTGAGAACGCACCCAGGGCTGACCAGCCGAGCAGGGCCTAGCAAAGCCGTAGAGAAGCAGATAGAGTAGTGGGGGTGAGAAGGTTAGACCCAAAGAGAGGGGCAAGGTTAGAATGTTCGACCAATATACCCCACTAACTCACTCAAGGTCTCATATCTTTAGCGTGAATAAAGCCGATGATAAGTGGCAGAGACCCCCAAGGATGGTCAACAGGAATTGTGATACCAGCAAGTGGTGTGACTTTCATAGAGACCATGGCCATACCACCGATGAATGCACACACCTAAAGGATAACATAGAGGATCTAGTCAGGAGAAGGTACCTGAATAAGTTTAAGCAACGCGATGACCCTCCCTAAAGAAGGGACGAGGATAGAACAGGTCGCGCTGACTTCAGAGGAGGTCATAGAGGTCCCGCGGGGGACAGGGACAGAGATAGTAAGCCAGAAGGCAGAGTATATATGATCAGTGGAGGACCGGTGCATGGAGGAACATTGAACAAAGCACGGGCCGAACTGCGAGCAATAGAAGCGTAGATGGCCACCCCTTCCCCCGAAGCCACGAGCCAAGTTTGACGAGTATGACCAAGAAGGCATAATTTACCCTCATGATGATCCCCTAGTGGTGACAATGAGAATTGCAAACTGGGAGGTGGACAGGATATTGATAAATGGAGGCAGCTCAGCCAACATCATATACATCAGCACGTTCAACGAGCTGACGTTGGACAAAAAGGATCTGAAAAGGGTGAGTTATGAAGTCACCGAGTTTAATGGATCAGGGATGACCCCGGAAGGTATAATTGAGCTCTCAGTTCGAGTGGGGGAAAGATTAAAAAGACGTGATGTTTGAGCAGAGTTCCTCGTGATAAACTCTCCTTCTTCCTATAACGTGATCATGGGAAGGCCGCTCATCCACAAGATAAGCGGAGTGGTATCCACCTACCACCTTGCCATGGCCTACACGACTAATGAGGGACGGTCAGCAAAGCTTAGGGGAAGCCAGAAGACAGCTCAACAATGTAACATAACTGCATTAATGCAGCCTGCAAAGACCAGACAGTGGTCAACCTCAGAACGAAGGTCCACTGAGCAGGCTAAGAGAAAGTCAAGAAAAAGGAAGCGCGAAGAATATCACAGGGATAAGGATAAACAGAAGTTAGCAATGGAAAACTTTGAGCCTGCAAAGGAGGAGATGGCTAGACAACTTCCTAGTGAAGAGCATGTCACAGTTGAGCTCACAGAAGGTGACCCATCGAGAACGGTGAAAATCGGGAAAGACATTGACCCTAGAGTAGAGGTTCGCCTCATAGAGCTGCTGAGAAGGAAAAAGGATATTTTTGCATTTTCCGCAGATGAGATGCCCGGAATTGACCCTGCAGTCATGGTCCACAGGCTGAATGTGAAGGAGGATATTAAGCCGGCAAGGCAGAAAAAACGAAGCTTCTCCACAGAGAAAAATAAAGCAATCTAGGAGGAAGTGGAGAAACTCTTGGAGGTAGGATTCATTGAGCCTTTCGATTACCTAGAGTGGTTAGCCAACTTAGTCATGGTGAAGAAAGCAAATGACCAGTGGAGAATGTGTGTTAATTTCACGGATCTTAACAAAGCATGCCCAAAAGACTGCTACCCGCTGCCGCGGATTGATCAGCTGGTAGACTCAACCAGCGGGCACGCCTTGCTAAGATTCATGGATGCCTTCTAAGGGTACCATCAAATCAGCCTGCATGAATCAGACCGACAAAAAACGCATTCATCACCGAAGGGGGAGTGTACAATTACATAGCTATGCCCTTCGGGCTGAAGAATGCTGGGGAAACCTTTCAGAAGACAATGGATAGAGTGTTCCTACACCCGAAGGGCAGAAATGTTGAAGTGTACGTTGACGACTCAATTGTTAAGAGTGTCACGCAGGCAGGGCATATCATGGATCTGGAAGAAACACTTGCCACCATGAACAAGTACAAAATCAAACTCAACCCGAAGAAATGTGTCTTCGGAGTGAGCTCGGAAAAATTCTTAGGTTTCCTAATCAGCGAGAGAGGAATAGACGCAAATCCGGAAAAGTTCAAAGCAGTCCTAAGCCTGCCTGAGCCTAAGGTCAAAGCGGAATGGCCGCGTTGACTAGGTTCATTAGCAAGTTAGCAGATAAGGCCTTACCGTTCTACCAGTTGTTGAAGGGGAACAGAGAATTTAAGTGGGGTGCTGTAGAAAAAGAAACTTTTAAGGGTATTAAGGAGCATCAGACTAAGCTCCCAACAATGATCAGCCTCACTACTACAAAATGCGTATATTTCGACGCCATTAGCTTAACGCTGTGGTAGGGGCGTCAGCTAGTTATTATAGTGTGCGTGTCTTCTCGATGCTGTTTTAAGTCAAAATTTTATTTCGAGTCTAAAAAGCGTCGAGAAACCCCTCACGTGTGGGACACGTGGTATGCTTTGATTAAATTACATCTTCAATTCATTTTATGGAAAAAAACAACCGCCGCTCCTGAACAAGTAAAACCCTTGATATCATCTCTTTTTCGATTCTAATCCTCCAAAAATGCAAAGAATTTATCAAGCTTGGATTCCGATATACTTTTTCTCTGGGTATTGTGTTGCGGAATTTTCCTTACTCTTTGTCAATTCCAATCAAATACGTCTCTTTGTCCAGATCGATGATTCTGAGGTAAATTATTTTTTCCCTAATTTTCTTTTAGAATTGAGTACTTTAGATCATTTTAAGGGTGATAATTTTGAGAAATGTTTTGATGATATATTGGTTTGGCTCTTGAAGAACAATATAAGGGCTTTGTTTATGCTTCTATATGCTACAAGGCTACAGTTTTAATCCAATTCTAATACGGAGTATTAATTTTGTTTTTAAAAACCAAAATTGCTTAAGATATATGATAAGTCGGTCAATTATTTCTCTCACTTCTCTGCTTCTGTAGTTACAAATCTACTTCATTTATAGTTGAATAAAAATCTATGTTGAAGGATTTGTCTGTCAATATTTATTACAAATAGGAACATGTACACAAATTGTTTGAAATATCAATCTTTCATTTTCCTTTGAATTCTGAATTTCATTTCTATTTATGTTCTAAATATCTAGATTTATGATTTTTATACTAGTTAAATCTTCTCTAAGTTCTGACTATATAGAATTTAACGAAGGTTTTGAGTTGATTGGTTTCTTGATAGTTATTGGAACAATTGAAATTTAAAATAAAAATTGATTGGTTTAGTCGTTAGCCACGCTACCGAAGACTTACATAAAATATCCTCTTGGAGGTAGTAGCAAATATGGAAATCTTAGCTAGAAGGAGTTGCTTAATGGCAAACTGAGGGATTATAAAAGAGATGATCGATATTCATAATCAACACTAGAAATCTTTCTATAATTGCTGCCATCTTGCTGATGTAATCAAGTTTTTGTCAACACAGATTACTATTAAGATCTAAATTTTCCTAGAGTAATCATTATATTTCTAGTCCTCTTTTGATTTAATTGTTTTTTGTTGTTTTGAATCTTTTCTTCTAGTTTTGTTAGTTGTATGGCCTAGGACCTCGCTACTCTATTTACTTTTGAAAATAAATATAGTATAGTATAAAATATTGTATAGGATATTGAATGTATACAAATATAGTGAAATGAACTGAATGTATAATGAACTCATTGCATACATTATTATCTTCTTTCAATTCATAATTATTAATATATAAAGATAATAATATTGTATAATACTTATAGTCTAAATAATTATATAGCAAGGCTAAAAAATTTCTTCTTATTTTGGTTTTCACTTTTTTGTCGTTCCGCACTCTTATTTCATATTGGCAGAAGATTTAAAGTATGTCACTATCTCGGAGGTGGTATACGTTTTTGTAGGCAACTCTCTTCCATTCTACAGTCAAAAGAAGAGTATCCTGGTAACATAATTTTTTCCTTGTCTATAGCTTCACATCAGTGAAAAGAGTTTTAGACAGTTGAATCAATGCTACATTTTTGCTCCACTAATTGATTGAAAATGTTGAGGAATTTATTAATTAAAACAATAGGATCTCTACTTTTAATGTATGGTATTTCATATATATATATTTTTTTTGAGGAACTGGTACTTCATATATGGTTATATATATAGTGTTGGTTAGATGACTTATGACAATTGACTTGTAAGAATTGTTTGTTGTTTACACGTGCAATTCTTTGCTTGTTCTCATTTAATTTGATACTTGTTAAATAAATGCTTTAAGTACCCCCCCAGTAATGCACCCTATTGTTATTATTATTTTCTTATTTTATTTGATGTATATATGGCTGATTTGGAAGAGTATTCTCTTTCAGATTTTGTAATTTGTTTGGGTTTTATTCTTATTTAAGTGTACATAATACTAATTAGTTGAATTAATAAATTCTTTTGTAGTACCACATACAATTTATTTGTTCAGTTGTTGCTCATATTAGTGTTGTTTATGAAAATCATCCATTTTTATGCTGACTGCTAACCAATTCTTGTTTATTGTATTTTCTTTAAAAGGCCTCAAGCATTGTGTTATTGTTGGTATGATTTTCTTATCTTTTCTTATTATTATATAGTATATTATGGGTGCAAGCTCTCTATTTCATGAAGCTGAATCTGTCTTCCTTATCATTTACATGAAGCCTTGACGTGTCTAGTATCATGGTGATCTTAGAATGATTTCCCTTTTGTCTGCATGCGCTTGTGTTGTCTAAGATTTGAGCAAAAATAGCTTCAGCATTGTCATTTATTTCTATTTTAGTTGACCTTGGTCTATTATCCATCTAATGATGTTCCTTTTATCCATAGTCTATCTCACCTGTGTTTCGTATCTTGTCGTGTGCTCGAACCGTGATATTTTGCATATAATTTGTATTCAGATTGTGCTATAACTGTTTTATAGATGTACATGTTATCATTTTGGCTCTCTCTAGCTCTTTATTTCCCATGTATATTTTATCTTATGAAGTTGCTATTTGCTTGTGTACTTATGATTTTATGACTAAATTTGAGCTAAATCAATGGAAAATAGAAACGAATTATGTGGTATATGAATGAAATATCCCATGTATTGTCCTGGTAATGCATCTTTACTGTTCAATACATTTTCTCATTGATAATTCCCAACATCCCTTGTTTCTTCTAAATACCAATACCTTTAAAGTGTAACAAAGTTGTTGGAACACAAATGTTGTTGCTGTAGGATGCTGACCACAACCGTCGCTCCACCTTGCTGTTATTGCTGCTCAACAATGTTGCTGCTGCTGTTGTTGATCCACGATGCTATTGTTGTCTGTCTCCCCAGGCTACACAAAACAACTAGATCCTACCCAAGGATCCAGAAATATTAAAGAGTGTGCTGTGAATTCAATGCTTACAATGAGTTATTGGTCACAATTTGAACTTCGCTCTATGCCCTCCTGCAAGCTTATTAAGGAGCAGCTAAAAGAAAAGATTGATTGAAGATATTTTTTCTCTGAAGAAATGAGCGGAGTTGTCTGATGGGCATCAAAGAACTTATTGATTAAGAAGAAATCCTTGATTTCAAATGTGTTGTTAAAATCCAAAATTACATTAGGTGTAAAAATATTATAACTAATTGCTAAGAAACATTGTTGCTAGTTTTACTTGTAATAAAATATTCTGTGTAACGGAAAATATTAATTTATTTATTTATATACAATAAACAAGATTTTTGTTTATAAATTTATGATTTTGGATTTTTATTTTTATTTTTATTTTTTTGTTTTTGTTTTTGTAGCACAAGGATACTAAGTTGTTTTCAATTACCCTCCCCAATTAATATTATATCAGTGAAAGCATTGATTTCACATAATTAAGAATTCGCGACGCTTTTTAATGTAAAAAATATTTGGAATTGAGGACAATAAAAAGCGTCTGAAAACTTTTTTTAATAGACACTAAAAAGCGTCGTAAAACTTTAAAGATATGCGTGCAATAACCCAAACTTGGACACTTTGTATAGTAAATTAGACATAAAAAAGCGTCGAGATTCTCGACGCTTTTTGATGTCCTTCAAAATTCTCGACTCACTATTTTTTGATGCTTTTTTAAAGCGTCGAGAGAAAAATTCTCGACGCTTTTAGGCGTCTAAAATCAGCCTAAAAAGCGTCGCAAAAACAAGGAAATTCTTGTAGTGGCCCAGAGTTAAGGGAAAAGTTGCAGCTGTATATTTTTGCATCAATTCAGACAATCGCAGCCGTGCTACTGGTAGAAAGACAAAAACAACAAAGGCTAATTCGTGAGCCATGTACTGACCGAGGCAGAGCAAAGGTACCCATTGGTAGAGAAACTGGCCTTCATAGTAGTAACAATAGCAAGGAAGCTGAAACTATATTTTGATGCTCACGTAATACTAATCCTCCCAAATCATCCGCTAGAAAAAGCGTTACAGAAAATGGAGGCATAAGGCAGACTCTTAAAATCGGCCATCGAGCTTTCTGAGTACGAGTTTGAGGTCAAACCTAGGGCAGCCATCAAGGCACAAGCCTTAACGGATTTCATCATGGAAGCCTCTTATGAGGAGAAAGAAGATGACATTGGGATCTGGAAGGTAGATGTAGATGGATCCTCAGCCCAAATAGGGAGTGGAGCAGGAGTCATAATGACATCTCTAAAGAGAAACGTATTTGAGTACGCCATAAAGTTCAAGTTTAAAGCATCAAACAACGAGGAAGAGTACGAGGCAGCACTGGCAGGCCTGCGTATGAGTATTGCAGCCGGAGCCCGAAAAGTCCATCTGCAAACTCACTCTCAGCTTGTCGCCAGCCAACTGCAGGGGGCATATGTGATTAGGGAAGCCACCATATTGAAATATGTAACTAAAGTAAAAAAACTGGCAGCTCATCTAGTTCATTTCCAGATAGACTTGGTTCCCAAAGAAGGAAACTCCTAGGCTGACGCTTTGTCAAAGTAGTCAGTTCTACCCTGTAGAGCCTTACGGTAATGGTAGAAGTCCTGGATGAAAGCAGTATCGCTGAAAAAGAGCAAGTGAACTACATCGGGCATCAACGAGCTTGGTACACGGACATTCTGGCATAAAAGTTCACGGCTCGTTGCCAGGTGATGAGGTGCTAGCCAAGAAGGTTAAGAAGGACGCCAACTGGTACATGGAAATAAATGGGGAGCTTAATAAGAAAGGCTTCTCGAAACCACTACTGTGGTGTATCCTAGAGTGGGAGCAAGAGAGGATCATGGAAGAAGCACACTCAGGGATATGTGCCAACCACATTGGTGGAAAGGCATTAGGAGTAGAAGTCCTCAGAAGAGGTGCGTACAGGCCAACTTTGATGCAGGACGCACTGACATATGTCAAAAAGTGCGACAAGTGTCAAAAATATTCCCCAGTTATAAACCAACCAGCAAATGATCTGACCCCGATCCTCAGCCTGATCCCGTTTGCTCAGTGGGGAATGGACATATTGGGACCTTTCACCACTGGGTGAGCGGGCAGGAAGTATCTCATTGTGGCAATATATTATTTTACCAAGTGGATAGAGACTGAACCCACTAAGTACATAAAGGCAGCCCAAGTAAGGACATTCATATGGAAGAACATCATCACAAGGTTCGGTGTGCCATAGTGCATAGTCTTTGATCTTTGATTTCAGTTCGATTGTGACACTATCAAGGATTACCTGGATGAAATGGGCACCAAGTATGAAAGTGCCTCAGTCTGCCACCCGCAGAGTAATGGCCAGGCAGATGCAGCAAACAAGCTGATCTTAACAGCCATGTAGAGGAAGTTGGAGGAATACAAGGGCCTATGGGCAGACCTAATCCCAAGGATCTTATGGGAAAACAGAACCACTAAGAAGGAGTCCACTGGTAAAATCCCTTTCACCCTAGCCTATGGGGCTGATGCAGTTGTCCCAGTAAAGTGCAACTCCCCAGCCTGAGGATACAGCACTATGAACAACAAGGAAACGAAAAACACATGGTGGAAGAGCTAGACTTCCCGCAAGAATTAAGGCTAAAAGCAGCTCTCAAGCCGGCAGCCCGGAAGAGTAGGATTTCCAAAGATTTCAACAAGAGGGTCAATCACAGGGAGCTCCTGCAGGGAGATTTAGTCCTTAGAAGGACAATAGCAGTGGGAAGAGGAAATCAGCATGGAAAGCTATCAGCAAATTAGGAAGGCCATTTCATCATTCACGAGCAGGTAGGACCTGGTGCATTCCTCCTTGCAGATCAAGAAGGTAAGGTCTTAAGACACAGTTTCAATGCTGATGTGTTAAAGAAATACTTTGTTTAAAAAGCATGGAGTTAAGAAAAAAATGAGATAATTGTTTCAATTTTGCACAAACTCTATTTAGTTAATATTTTGTTAACTAAGGCATTTGAGCCATTTTTATTTAATGAAATACAAGCCTCTGCGTGAGGAGTATGTTACATAAACATGTTTTAATATATCATGCCTTAGCATCATATACTAACATGCAAAAGTAAAAAAAAAATAAAAATTTTTAGAGGCAAGAAGCACCCTGCACAAAGTGGCAAAGTAGTGTTAGACGACAAATTAAAGCATCCCTCCCTAAAACCTCACCTGACCTGCTCAAGGTAAAACAGGGCGCAACCTCGGGGACGCTTAAGGGGAGGCCTGACACGTTCAACTTGAGCAGGAGAGAAAAGGAAAAACGAAGAAGATGAGCTACGTCGGCAACACTAAGGTCACTTAGCTCACCTCTTTGAGGGGGAGAGGGAAGGAGGAGATAGACATACAATAAACCCTTACAAATAGAAGTAAGCGACACAAAACAACAAGTCGCAGCATAAACAAGCTAAACGACATAAAACAAGTCGCAGCATAAACAAGCTAAACGACATAAAATAAGTCGTAGCAAAACAAGTTGAATGACATAAGAAGAGCAGGTAGAAAGCTGATTGACACAAATAAGTCTCAGTAAAGCAAATGGAATAATGCCTTGACAGGCAACAATCGAATAAACTAACCAGCGTGCAAGCAAACCTCTATCAAATTTAAATAGAGCATGTAATGCACAAGCACCCAAAGCAAATAGAACAGGAAGAGTAAAACCCATTGCAGTTCCCGCCAAGCATAGCAGAGAACAAAGAAGCAAGAAAGCACTTAGCACCCAAATCAAGAAGACAGGGAGGCCCAACCTACGAGGCTTCACCGAATACAACAAAGGGGCTTCTACGCTAAGATCTAGATGCTTCTATACCTTGGCCCAGCAGCAGATCTAGGCAGACATGCAAGCTACAAAATAAGCAGCAGGTAAAATAGCAGAAAAGATCAACAAATACATACAACATAAAGCTGAACCCCAGCCCACCAGGACAGAGTAAACATTTAGCGGGTCTATTACAATATGCGTAAAGCTGAGCCCTCGTCCACCAGGACAAGGAAACACTAAGAAGAGATAGTTAGAAAAATATAAGTCAGGTTAAGCGGGGCAGGCCCAGCAGCAAAAGATAAAGTATCCAGCTAAAGCACAAGAAAACATAATCTTTGGCGGCTATACACCCCAAAGATAGCAACAAAAACTACTTGGTCACTACAGACCTGGGTGAGGGAAACTTAGAAAAACCACTGGAGTAGGAAGGTGACAGCCACCATAATCTTTATTGATCACCAGCCAAGGACTTCACTCCAATAGCCGCAGCAACGTCGGGGCAGAGAGGAACTTCCAAGTTCAACACAGATTGGTCAGGAACCTTGCAGCTAACAACACAAGGATGATCAACAAGGAGATCAAACAAACCAGCCTCACCTATAGCCTTAACCTTAGCCTAAAAGGCGTTGAAACGAGCCTGCTGCTCCTCACCCTCACCATATAAGCTGCTGACACACCGAGCTGCACCCTCCCATCCACCATCATGGCGATCAGCCAATAACTTAGCAAAAGCAGGGGAGAGCGCAAAAGCTTTGAGTGCCTCCTTCCTGGCAGCTTCCAGCTCGGTTAGGTGTCCAGCTTGCAGATCTGCAATCTCTGTCTCCAACGTCTGCACCCTAGCCTGAAAGGTCTCTAGTTGCTCTTCGCAACTCTTCAATTTGGTCTTAGTGAGTTGACATTCTCCCAACTGGAGCATCAGGGCGTCCGCCCTCTCCGTCAGAGGAGTCACCTCGCTGGCCATAGCATTCCTCTCAGCCTGAGCCTACTGAACCTCCAAATTCTTCCGAGAAAGAACTATGCCCTGATTCTGATACTCCTTCTCTACTAACAGCAAGGCATTGGATAAATCTCCAACAGACCTAACAAGCTAAAAAAAAGGGCAGAAAAAGAAAGAAGTGAGCCAAGTCAGGAATTGACTAAAAATAAAAATAAAACAAGGCATTAACAATGGAATAAGTAGAGAAGAAAAGAAAAGCCAAAGAAAAAAGGGGGAAACCAAAAGCAGAAACTAACCTTCTGCAGGTCATGGCAAGCTATATTAGTAGGGAGACTAACTGAGTTACGCGTAGAATCAGTTGGGAGACGAACTCCTTGAGTCAAGCGGTACCCTAAAGTACCACCCTTCTGAAGGTCGTCCACAAACAAAGACTCGTCAGCCCTCACATTCATTTTAGGCCGAAATGGAGCATTCTCAGCCCCAGCAGAACACAGTATGGGGCTAAGGTGGGCCTCAATGGGAACCTCAAAAAATTCAATAGCCCCAGTATGGCGAAAAGTACCTCTAGCAGAGATTGAGATAGCAGACAGAGGATTCTCTAAAGCGTCAC